CAAGACGGAAAACCAGCTGATAAGGCCAAAGAGGTCTGGCCTGGACTTGGAGGTCTTGGAAGAGGGAGCAAACTATCCCTTAGGAGAGTGTGTATGTAGGAACAGGACTGAACTAAACCTGGGACTGTATGTCCATGAGATCAAACATTGCTTAAAAATTCATAAATTCAGAGCACTGGCCACAGTCTGTAAATACAAAATCTGCACCACGTCCATTACTGTAATGAAATTTAACCTGCAGATGACTCTGGCAGCCATTCAAGGAGAATGAATGGGGCTTCTCAAACGCTACAGAATGAGGAGGAAGCAGACTTAGACAAGGGGGCAACCTAGGGCCCTCTATGCTTTAGAGGGCTAAGTCTCTTTGGGGAAGGAAGCAACAGCTCTTGCAGGGTGGGTGTCTGACTGCCCTGACAAACTTGATTTCATACACTTTAGAGAGAACTCTGAAGCTCTTAGTAAAATATTTCAGAGAAATGTTTTCCAATTCCATCTTCTGAGTTTCAGTGGTTTCTGCAGGATCATATGTCTCACAAGTCAAAGGGAAAGTTACCACAAGTTTAAAGTCAGGTTCAAATATGGCAGAGCTACAAATTACATTGATTTGTGGAATGGAAAAATGCTTCCACGGCAAGCAGAACTGAGCCCTACAATCAGTGTAGACCACTTCCCTGGGGATCCCGGGTGAAACCACATCCCAGGCTCCCTCATGAATGCCAGCTTTTGATGAAATGGCACCAAAAACATCAATAAGCCTGCACCAGGCTATCAGATCCAGTGTGTCCTGATTGAGGGGGTGGAAGGGATGGATATGACAGGAACTCAATAACAAAAGGCAGGGCCACCCAACAAAGAAAGCTGGTAGTCTTCATATCGTTGCTCAAATTATGTCTGATTTCATCTTCCACATTTCCTGAAATCCTGCTGGGTTTTATTATTTTAACTTTTAAATTGCATTTATTTAGTTTGTGTGTGTTTGTATACATATACACCACAGTCTAAGTGTGGAGATCAGAGGACAACTTATGGAATACGGATTCTGAGGACTGAAGTCAGATCATAGGACTTAGTGGCAAGTGTCTTTACCTGCTGGCACAACCCTTCTGCTGATTCTTAATATAAATTTTTCAAGTATCAGTACATGGTCCATAATTTCACTGCAATCAGAGTTGAGCAGGTCAACACTGTTTTCTGTTGCTGTTTTAGGTTTTGTTTTTAGTTTTGCTAGTTTGGTTTCCTGAAACAGGGTCTCGCTATGCAGCAGCCCAAACTGGCCATGCAACAATCGCCCAGCCTCAGCCTCCTGAGGACAGAATGAGATGTGTGGCAACCTGTCAGGCTAATACTGAACTCTTAAACTCCAAGGTCGATCAAGAGGCTCCATGGGCCAAATGGCTTAAATTCTCCATTGTTATTTTTTTAATGAAGTCTTCCAGGTGCATCCAACCTGTGTCCTGTGGGCCATTTATACTTCATTGAAAATAAGATCCGGCATAATTCTCTTTTGTGACTGCCTGAAGGACTGTTGCATGTGAGCTCTTTAGATGACATCAGTAATGATGCCAGACACACATGCTAGGCTTTGAACCCTGGGGAGTTAGTGCTCTACACGGATTAGGGCTTAGTGTAGAGCTGCTGCCCATTAACCTACTGGAAGGCAGACAACAAAATTGCCAAGGACAACAAGCAGCATACTGGAGACTGAACAGCAAGGGCATTGGCTGGGCCTCAGAAGCACAGCCTCCCTCTGACTTCTTCCTGCCTCCCTTCCCAAGGGCAGGTCAAGGAATAGGATTTCTCTCCAAGGCTGTCATAGAACCTAGAGTTATTATTACTTTAAACCTGCAGGAGTCACCTTACTGCAATGAGCTGTGCTGGTCCGAAGGACTTGAGTTCAATATCCAGGACCTACAGAAAAAGGCAGTCATAGTAGCATGCGCTTGTAATCCCAGCACTAGGGAGACAGACTTCATAGTCAATCGGTAAGCTCCAGGCCCATGAGAGTTCCTGTTTCAAAGGAGGTAGGCAGTATCCCAGAAGATGATCCAAAGTCCCAAAACTGTCTTCTAGTCTACACATGTACCCACCTGCACTTAAAAACTTCTTTAAGTTTTATTTTAATTTTTAACTATGAGTTACATGTCCAGATGTGGGTTTGTGCATATGAGTGCAGTACACAGAGGCCAGAAGAGGGCATAAGATCCCCTGGAGCTGGAGTTTCCAGTAGTTGTGACCCTTCTAACATGGGTGGTAGAAACCCAACTCAGGTCTTCTGGAAGAGCAACATGCTATCGCTCCAGTCCCAATACACATGAATTTAAAGAAAGAGGAAGAGGAAGAAAAAACTCTTCTTTTGCCTGATCATAGTTGTTAAAACCTGGGGGGTCCTACCCCAACCCCAGGAGAAATTCAGAGTACTGGAAAGACCCACCACCTGCCATCCTTGTAGAAGTAAACATTTTTCTTAGGGCCTTTGGTCTTTATATATGAAAGCTCTTGGACTTGTTATACTTTTCTGTAGTTAACTTATCTTTTGTTGAAGGCATTAAGATGTTTAGACAGAAGCCATACTTTTCTGTGTCTACAAACCTAATGAAATGGCACACAATTCTCCAAAGACCTATAGCCAAGTGTCAGCTTCAATGGGTCATCTAATGCTGTCATCACTGTGTCTATCCAGAGTGTCAATAAATGCTCAACAATAAAATGAAGTTATGAAGACCTCTGGAAAGCAGCACTTGACCTCCAATGCCAATTCCACAGCAAGTAAACACCAGCCATGTTCACAGCCAGCCATTAGTGGCCAACGGGCTGCAAAGACAGAAATATAGAACGGTGTGTTTACCTGTGGATATAAGCCACCTGGCTCCCTGGGCTATTTTCATGGCAGCAGAAAGCCAAAACAAACAGAATACAAGTGACTGGTGCCAAGACTGCACAGCTTCCTCTTACTAGTTCCCTTTTTTCCATCCTCACGGGGCTTCATGGAAATTCGGTGGAGAATTTGAAGTTAGAGTGGGGAGAGGTCCTGTCATTGTCGTAGTGGCGTTAGGCCATGCCCAGACCAGCAGGGATGGCTGGATTAGATTAAGGTAGAATACTCGGAACAACTTACCTTCTCAGCGTAGGCTGAGAATGCCTGCCAGCTCCTTCCTCTCAGTGGGCTCCCCTTGTACATCTTTCTGCAGCTACACAGCAGCTTTGCTGGTATCCTTGACCTCAGCTTTTCCATATAACTTTCCCTTCTGGGAACGCCTCCCCAGCCTTAGCTGGGATCACCAGCTGAGTTCTGAACTTTTCAACAACATGCCTGATTTTCACCCATAGCATAAGCCACTCAGGATCAGGGGCCATTTTTTTTTTTTTTCAGCACTTTTATAGGACAAGATGTAGTGCTTTCCCCTCCCATGGTCAGTCAGTAAGGAAGGACAACAGAGATGTATCTGCCAGAGACTCGGAGCTACTTCAATCCAGTACTTTAGAGACTCAAGATCTGGTGACAGACTTTAAAGCAATCATTGGGTCACTTGATTCAGTAAAACATCACACAGACATTTTTTTCAGGTAGGAGTTAAATCATTCATTATTAGTGCTTTCAGTGCAACGTCAAAAGGAGGACAATGGACTTCTCCCTCAGTAGGTCTACGACAAACGTTTCTTAGCTGCCCTGTGCGAGGACTGACTGGCTGAGACGCCGGGTGAAGTATGGGTGTTATTCTAGGCCAGGTGGAGTAAGTGACGCTCCCTCTGGGTCTGATGCATCTGATAAAGTCAAACACTAGAAGAATTCCGATTCCACCCGGAACCTTCCTCTACAGCTACCTACATTAGTTCTGTTTTAAAAGAGCCAGTCTGGGAAGCCTGGAGTGGCGGACAGAAAGGCAGGCAAGCACCTTCTGGTGGAAATAATCTTCCTTTAAAGGACTCCAATATGGAGTCTAGGACTCCGTGAATCAGCTCTAGTTCACCATGCCAAGGGGAGGGCGGTTGGATTTTGAAAAGGCTGGAGGAGCAGGCTTGATGGCACAACCCTGTAATCTCAACACTATGAAGGCAGAAAGCCCAGGAGTTCAAGACCACCTTTGGCTATATGTGCAGTTGGGATTCCAGCCTGAACTACATAAGACCCTGTCTCAAAGCAACAAAAAAAACTGATAAGAGTTCAGAACGCCCCGTGACTCCCACAAACTATTTCCCAACGACAACCAACAGTGAGTGACATCAGCTTCACCATCCGGAAGCACAAATCCAACAAATATTAAGGAAGGTCCAAGAGGCCTGATCACTCACTGGAGCTTCGCCTTTCTAAAACACATGCCCCTCTCTCACCCCTTCCTCTTAAGCCTGAAGGGAAGGTGTGGGCACAACACCGAATGACGATTAAGCGCACCGTCTGAACCCAAGCTGACCTGGAAACCCCTGGGAAGCAAGAACTGGGCTGGCTGGTCAGGCAGGGGCCACGTCCACCTTCGTCACCGAAAGCCCTCTGGGCTAGGAGCTCTGCGACCATACCGGATCCCCTGAGCATCCGCACGCCCGCACCCTGCTGGGAATCCGCGTGAAACCCCCAGGGATAAGAGCATAAGTGCAGTCTCGTGGGCCCAGAGCAGCCACGGAGCATCTGCAAGTTATTTTACTTTATGTCTGTTCGCTTTTGCTTTCAGAGTCCGCGAGCGATCGTTCTCCAAAACACAACTTAGATTCTAAAGGCTACTAGAGAAAACCCGCGCCCTTTCCTACGAGCCCCAGGGGCATCATCCGGGGAGGTTCAGATGGGAGCTGTGCAGCCCGGGCCTGCGGACCAAAGACTGGAACCCCTCGCCCTAAATCCCGCCCAAAGCGCGCCACCCGGGGTCCCACGACGTCGCCACCAGCTACCCTTGGAGAGCGCGGTGGCCCGGGGCTCCAGGCAGGTGCCAGAGCGCGGCCTCTGCCTCCAAAGCCGCCCCGCACCCCGCGCCTGGTGTTCCCCACGCAGCACCCAGCACCGCCACACTCACCGTCGCCCGCGCCGCCTGTCGAGCCGTGAGGTCTGCACTGGCCGCGCGCGCGGGCCGGGAGAGCTCTAGGGAGGCAGGGCGAGCTGGGGGCGGAGATGTTTCAGGGGGGCGGAGATGTTTCAGGGCGTGGTCTGGAGGGGCAAGTGGGACCGGGCCTGAGAGGGGCGGGGCAACAGTCTAAGGAGGAAGCTGTGTCCAGAAAGGGCTCCCGAGGCGGGGCATGGGGAGGAGAGGCCTAGAGGGTCTGGCGGGAGGCGGACTCCTCCAGCAGCCAGCCCTGGAAGAGGGCTGAGGAAGGAGGTTATTCTTTGTTTCTAACAGCCTCAACCAACACCCCTCAAAGGCATAAAGACAACCTACAGAGTGAAGACAATATTTGTAGGCTATGTAGATTCAAATTATATAAAGAACTGTACAGGAGATAGAAGTACATATTCGGGTCAGCCTGATCGACAGCAGTGAGTTTCAGGCAAGTTAAAGCTCCAACCCCCGCCAGAGCTGCAGCTCAGCTGATAAAGGGCTGTAGCATGCCTGAAAACCTGGGTTTGTCTCCAGTGCCTCATAAATAAGTGCCTCATAAGTACGGGCCTGCAACCCTAACACTTTGGAAGGCCGAGAAACAGTTCCGCAAAAAGTTGAGGCTAACCTGTGAGACATGGGAAGTTTGAAGGCAGCCTAGGATACACAGTGAGACCCTGTCTCAATCCATCCCCCCCAACACACACAAAAAGACTCTTACAGCATGTGCGTGCGTGCGTGCGTGCGTGCGTGCGTGCGTGTGTGTGTGTGTGTGTGTGTATTGGAACCTCACGATGTAGCCCTGGCTGGCCTGGAACTCACAGAGATCTGCCTGCTTCTGTCTCTGTGCTGGGGCTAAAGGCATGTGTCCCCACACCTGGCTTACCTTTGCTTAAGGAAGGAAAGATTTATTTGGAGTCACAGTTTCAGATGGTTTCAGTCCATCATCATGGGAAAATCTAGCAAAGCTGATGTTGAGAGGCTATGTAGTGCTGTTCACATCACAGTAGACCAGGAGAGAGGAAGAGCAATCAGGACACAGGGCCTGGAATAACCTTCAGTGGCCCACCCCTAGGTTACTTTTACCACCTAGGTCCTCCTAAAAGATTTTATACCTCCAAGAATGGTAGGACCAGCTGGGCACCAAGAGTTCAAATCTTGAGAGTCTGGGGTATGGGGAGAGGGATTTCAGATTTAAGTTCTAACGCACTCAACAATGAGACAACTCAGGTGGGGTTTTTTGGTTTGTTTTTGTTTGTTTGTTTTTTGAGACGGGGTTTCTCTGTGTATCCCTGGCTGTCCTGTAATTCACTCTGTAGACCAGACTGGTCTCAAACTCAAAGATCAGCCTGCCTCTACCTCTGGCTGGGATTAAAAGAGAGTACCAACACCACCATCTGGCCAAGAAACAACTCAGTTTTAAGATGTGCAGTGGGATCTCGTGTGATGGTAGACAACTGTAATCTCAGCAATCGGGAAGGGGAGGCAGACCCTCAAGTGCAAGGTCAGCCTGCTCTCTCAGGAAATCAAAGGGACTGAGAGAGGCAGCAGTAGGCAGCTCAGCAAACGCGAGAAATATTGTGCTTAACAAGGTGGACAGTGAGAAAGAACCCCAAAGCTGTCCCCAACCTCCACTCATGCCTTTCCCACGTTTACCATAACATTCACATGCCCAAACTCTCTCTCTCTCTCTCTCTCTCTCTCTCTCTCTCTCTCTCTCTCTCTCTCTCTCACACACACACACACACACACACACACACACAAATAAATCCCTTTAAATTATATTTAAAAGTAAGTTGAAGCCAGGTGGTGGTGGTATACACCTTTAATCGCAGCACTCAGGAGGCAGAGGCAAGTGGTTCTCTGAGTTCAAGGCCAGCCTAGTCTACAAAGTGAGTTCCAGAACAGTCAGGGCTATACAGAGCCATCCTGTCTTGAAAAACAAAAACAAACAGAAGATTTTAGAGAGTGTTTTGTCATAAGCTATAGACAAACAAACTGTATGCAAATGTTGTCAAGCACGTGGAAATCCGTCTAGGCTCTGTAGTCATCATGGAAATGTGATGGAAACCACAATGAGAAGCCACTTTCACAATGTGAGAGTCACAGAATGTTCTTGTGAGAGAGCATAAGTGGGGGAGCACAGAAACAGTGCTGGCCCTGCAAGCATGAGGACCTGAGTTCAGTCCCTAGCACACACTCAAAAACTCTGCAAGGCAGCATGAGTCTGCAACCTCAGTGCTGGGACATGAGGCAGGAGGGTGCCTGGGGTTCACTGGCAGCCAGCCTGGCAAATCTGGAGAGCTTCAGGCTCAGTGAAATCACACACACACACACACACACACACACACACACACACACACACACGCCCTGACAGGGAAGACATCATTTATGGTGTGGGGCTAGTGGTTGTAGTAGGGGAAGTGCAGATTATATTCAAGCTCTCCTTTAAAAAAAAAAAAAAACTTTTTTAATTAAAACAAAATAAGATGGAGAGCATGTGACATGCACACACACGCAGTAAATAAATGTGTGTTAAAAACATGCAGTGGTGGCACATATCTTTAACACAGCACTGGAGAGTCAGAGGCAGGCAGATTTCTGTGAGTTTGAGTCCAGCCAAGTCTGTTACACAGAGAAACCCTGTCTCAAAAAACAACAAAATATAAATAAATAAATACCTGTGTGTTGGAAGGGGAGTGAAGAAATTAGCCCCTGGTGCAACCAATGGAGACAATGAGAGGTGCAGCTGCTGTTCTGTTTCTAGGTAGCACACAAAACTGAAAACAACCTGTAAGTCTGCACAAGATTGTGGAGGGCAGCGCTATTCACCAAAGCCAAAGGGAGTAAAACCCCAAATGGCTGACAGATAAACGAACAAACAATGTGTGGCATATCCATGCCAGGAAGTACTACTCAGACCCAAGGGAATGAAATTCTGGTTCCCACCACAGCCTATGCAAGGCAAAAGAAGACAGACACAAAGGATCACCTAGCCTATAGTCTCATTTACATAAATGATGCCCAGAACAGGCAAATCCGTGGACAAAGCAGTTTAGTGGCTGCTTGTATGGAAAGATCAGGAGGGGGAGTAGAGACCACTGCCAGGGACGATAATAAAATTGTTCTAGAGTAGATAGCAATGATGGGTGCACAATACTGAATACTTTGGGCGCCGCCAGTATATAGTTCAAAAGTGGTTAAAATGTTAAACTTTACATTATGTGAGCTAACTTCCTTATTTCTTTCCTTCCTTTCTTCTCCAGATAGGGTATTGGTTTGTAGTAGCCTAGGACGTCTTCTAACTGACAGCAATCCTCTGCTTTAGATTCCCTAGAGCTGGGATCATAGGTGCCTGCTACCACACCTGGCTTTATCTCACCGTATGTGTGTTGGTGGAGTGTACACATGAGTACTTGTTGGTCTGTATGGATGTGTATGAAAGCAGGTGCGTGTGTGTGTATGTGTGTGTGTGTGTAGTATATATGTGTGGTGTGTATATGTTTGTGGTATATATGTGTGGTGTGTATGTGGTGTGTGTGGTGTGTGGTGTGTGTGTGTGTGTGTGTGTGTGTGTGTGTGTGTGTAGAAGCCACAGATTCACTTAAGGTGGAGGACAATCAAGGAAGACACCTGATGTTTTCAGATAAGGTCTCTCAGTAGACCAGGCTTGCTGATTCAGCTAGGGTGGCTGGTCCATGTGTGTCGGGGACCCACCTGTCTCTGCCTCCCCTGGCACTGCATTTGGCTTTTATGTGGGGCTGAGCAGCAGGTACTTTACCCACTAGGCCATGTCCCCTGCCTCTAGAGTCTTTAAAATCAGGTGTGTTGTACAGGCCCCAATGGGGTTTAGACAAAAAGAGAACACAGCAGTTGGTTGGTGTGGGACAGACACAAACCACCTCTTCAGAGATGGGGACTTGAAATTGTGACAGACATCATCAGGCCTTGATGTGGGAGAGCATTAGACAGGGACAGCAGATGTTATCAGTGACAGCGCACAGCCTTAAAGGAGGACAGGCTTCCCTTTAGAACCTGGGAAGGAAGGTGATGGGGGTGGGAGGGGCAGGAGAGCCTCCAGAGAAATCCCCCATGGTGATCTGACTAAGAACAACTCCCATAAACTCATCAATCTAAATGCTCAGTCACCAGGGAGTGCCACTGTTTGAAAGGATTAAAAGAATTAGGAGGTGTGGCCTTGTTGGAGGAAGTATATCACTGGGGGTCAGCTTTAATGGTTCAAAAGCCCATGACAGACCCAGTTTCTCTCTCTCTCTCTCTCTCTCTCTCTCTCTCTCTCTCTCTCTCTCTCTCTCTCTCTCTCTCTCCCTCCCTCCCTCTCCCCCCCCATGGATTAAGATATATCTCTCAATGCTGCTACCTGCTGCCACACCCCCCTGCCATGATGACAATGGACTAAACCTCTGAAACTATAAGCTCTCTTTCATAAGACTACCTTGGTCTTGGTGATTTGAGCCTTACATCTGTTCGGGGTGGTAGGAAATTCCACACCACATTTCTTTCAACATGGCATGGGCTGTGTGACAAGAAGCATGAAAAATCAGGCCTTCCAAGTGACCACTGTCTTTACAGAGCAGGCTCATGATCCAACACGGTCCAGGACAGGCCAAGTCTCAGTAGGTGCCACACCTCAAGATTCACATGATGAGGAAGGAACCACGTCTCTTCTGGGACTTCAGAAATGGCAGCAGCAGTCAGGGAGAGAAACACAGTACATGATGGAGTGCAGAACAAGCCTGCTTCACTTCTGTGTTGTAGATAAAAATGGCATATGAACAAGTCTGGTAGGGGGAAGCATATAGACACATCTGGAGAAAAGTTCTCTAACTTTCTGAGGGATAAAGGAGACTATAAATAGTAGATCTGTGTCATATAATGAAAAAAGTTTTTATTTTCTGATGTTTTATGAGAAAACATAAATTGTTTGTCTAAAAATAACAAAAGCAGGACTGCTGAGATGACTCAGTGGGTGAGGGCACTTGCTGCCAAGCTTGACAATGTGAGTCCCATCTCAGCATTCAAGAAGCAGGCTGATCTCTGAGTTCGAGGCCAGCCTGGTCG